AATTGGAAAGTCCTGCAGCAGTGGGGTAAAGATTCATGGGGACTTAATTTTGGTTTTTGAGTGGGATAGGTGGGGACTGAATCATCAGCATGGAAGATGAGGGTGGGGTTTAGCGGTGAGAGTTTTTTGGAAGAAGGAGGGATGAGAAATTAAAACCAGTCTTCCTGTTTTATTTTTAGGCATTAAATAAGTGATCTCATCTAATCCTAACCACCACCCCATATTAGGAAAAGTCAAATCATTGTCCAAGGTCACACACTAGTGAAGTCATAAAGCAAAATTTTACCCACCCAGGGACAAGTCTGCTCTAGAATTCAGAATCCTTGTCTGAGAATATTATCTATTTCTCTGGCAAAATTCTCTTCCAAGGTTTCCTTTTAACTTTTTTTTCAATCTTCCTCATCATTCTGAATATCAATGGTTTTCAGTTAATAGCAACCACTGTTAAATGTAAAAACCCCACAGCACACCACAATGGATTCATTCATCCATTCGCTCATTCTTTCAAAATATTGAATGTGCAGCTACTAAGTGCTGGGCACCATGCTAGGTGCCGGGGATTCAGCAATAAAAGAGAAAAAGAGAGTCAGGATGCTTGTGCTTTTAGAAGTAGGCTGAGTATTTTTACTCTTTGTTACTGCTAATAGTTCTGAAGGTTTCAATCAAGCTTAAAACATTCTGTCTGAAAGATTCCTATGAGAATCTTCTTTACCTAATTATTTATTGAAGACCTACATTCCAGTCTCCTGCTAAGGAAATTGATGTACATTTTACTGGATAAATAGAAATATTGTTTGGAATAAAAACAGTGGAAAGACATCTATAGCTAAACATCTCCTGGGAAGTCTCTGCTTTTAATTTCTGGTGTGCACATGGATCTCAGTAAGGGTAGATTAAAGGATCTTCTAATAATTTAGCACTGTTGGCTCAGGACAAGGTTCTGAAAGTAAATCTGGACCTATTCCCTAAGGACACTACAATCACTTTAAATCTAAAGGGCAAGAATGGGGGGCTACCAGAATGCTGGCTGCATCCCAGTGTTACTGCTGGGATGTCAAAGTGATGGGGGAAAGAGCAAAATGTGCAGATGGATGCACCTCGTTTTCTCACCCCAAGATACTCATGGATGGATGAGCTGAGGCCAGGTAGTGGCTTGAATTAAATTCCAAGTGCTTCTGGTGTCCTTGCACCATCTGATGGGGACCGTGGGGGCTTGCTTATGGAGCAGAGTCTAGTTTAGCTGTATGTCAATAGGGGCCACTGATGGAAGACTCTGGATGGAAATGGTACCAGGAATCATCAGGTTGGCTCCCAAATGTTGGGGGCTGCCAGGCATGAATTGGCAGGTGATAGGACAGGTCCTGCTGCAGTAGAGCTGTGGGACCACAGGAGATTAATTTTGTTTTCCTTGTGAGGGTGGGGGCTGAATCATCAGAATAGGAGCTGAGAATCATAATGTTTTTGGAAGGAGAATCAACCATGGAAGAATAAAACTGATCTAACAAATTGTTAGGCATTTTCACAATTTAGCTCATTTAATCCTAACCACCAGTTTAGATAAGGAAACCTAGGATCACACACCTGGTGTGCAGCACAGTGGGGGTTTGAACCCAGTTCTCCCTGACCTCAGCAGAGGTGCTCTTTCCAGCTCTAGTCAGAGAGGTAGGGCATTCCTACTTTCACTTGGTATCTATCCCCTATCTTCCTTCTCAGGCAATTAAGTAATTACAATTTGTAGCAATTCGATTTATTAAACAAAAACAATTTTATTTTATTTCTTTAAAAGATTTTATTGAGAGAGCATGCGTGAGCAGGGGGAGGGGCAGAGGGAGAGAGAGAGAATCTCAAGCAGACTCTGCACTGAGCGAGGAGCCTGATGCAGGGCTCGATCTCACGACCCTGAGATCATGACCTAAGCCAAAATCAAGAGTCTGATGTTTAACCAACTGAGCCACCCAGGCCTCCTTAAACAAAATCAATTTTAAAATCAGAGTAGTTGAAAATTTTATAATCCTTTAAAACGTAAGACTCCCACTCTTCTAAAATTAGGGAAAAGTTGTCTTGTACTTACTTATGCAAAGCCTATTACCCATTTTTCTCTCTTTATCGATCATTATGTTTAAGGGAAACAGTGGGTCAGTGGATATATGATCAAAATATTAGAGTTGGAAGGTGTAGAAACTGCAACACCAAGAAGCCTAGTGACTTGTTTAGAATAAAATAGCTAATTCCTGAATGATCCAAATAATGGAGGGCAAGAGTGAAAGTGGGAAAATCCTGAGTTTACAAAGAAAATTGAGTTTCAAAAGTTTGTAAATCAGTTATTCGACATTTAGTATATTTCTTCAATGAAAAGAAAATTTTAGGTAGGAATGCCACCTGATTATCTCATCAGAAAATAGCTGAAATCTATTATTTGTACCCAAGAACAGCACAACAATCAACCCCAAATTATTATGCAGTAGTTAAATTTAACACAATATAAAGACAACACAATATAAAGACAACACACTGAGTGAGAAGGATTTTAATTTTAAATGCATGAAAGAGAAGCTTAGGAGGATGAATGAGTTAACTGAAGGGTCTGGTGGAGATTCTGAGAATGATTTTTGGACACTGATCAGGGCCTTTTGGAAATGGATAATAGATATTTGTTTTTAAGAGATATGAAAGGAAATTTTCTGAGTGCCCACTATTTATTATAACCAGGAGTTTAAAAAAATCAGTCATTCAAAATCCATCAGTTAAATATACCATTCAAAGCAGCATCTAAGTGGCAGTTACTCTTTTTTTTTTTTTAAAGATTTTATTTATTTATTTGAGAGAGAGAATGAGAGACAGAGAGCATGAGAGGGAGGAGGTCAGAGGGAGAAGCAGACTCCCTGCCGAGCAGGGAGCCCAATGCGGGACTTGATCCGGGGACTCCAGGATCATGACCTGAGCCCAAGGCAGTCGCTTAACTAACCAAGCCACCCAGGCGCCCCTAGTGGCAGTTACTCTTTATGCACTTTTCCCTCCATGCACAAAAGAGCACTTTCCTTCTTTTGGTTTTGCTGTTCACCTAACCAGGGACCATCCTTTCTTTTCTTCATTGCCCTATAAAATATCCTCCAAGTCCAATTCAAATGTCATATCAATTTTTAGAATCTCCTGACAAGATATTAGTGGTCCTTCTTCTGAAACCAGTTGCATTTTGATTGCATTTCTTTTATGATGTACACTTTGTCTCCTGTTTTAGTTTTGGGGTGCCCCGTAAATAGTGGTCAAATACAATTAAATTGTAATAATTCAGGTTTCTCCTCAAGAAATGCCTTCGGACCACCTTTGCAAAATAATGTTCCCACACCCTCAGTCCCTAGTCCTGCTTTATTTTCTTTATAGCATGTATCATACTGGACATAAGAGATATTTGTTTATTGCCTGTCTCCTCCAACAGAATTTCTGACCTACTTTGTTTCATTTCCCCAGCACCTAGAACTGAGCCTGGTCCAGAGTAGGGGTTGAATAAATCGATGTAACTGGAAGTGAAAGAAATACCAACTGGGATATATCAAGACACTGGGTCTGATCATTCATTAGTTCTATCAGTACTTAGCTGCAGGACACAGAGTAAATCATTAACCCATGATGGGCATATCCTTATAGAATCAATAAGATTGTTAGGTCTTATGTCATTTCATTACTCTGAGAGCAGGAAACAAGAGAGGCTATGAATAAATGGAGTTCAGGTAGATGTGTGTGGGAAAAAGAACGTTCTAGGCCAGTTACAGGAGCTACCCTTGGTGAAAGGCAAAAAGAAAGGACAGAGCATAAGTGAGGAGAGAAAGATGCGAAGAAAGGGCTGCCTTCAGGTGCATGGGCCTGTCAAGAATGCTGGGGGAGCTGTGAAGTGGAGAGCTGGGGGACATACAGAGATGTTGGGCTGCTTGAGGAGAGGCTCCCAGAGAGAGGGAAGGCAAGCTAAAAGGGGAGGGTATGTGTATGTTGCAAGCTCCACATACTTTTCAATTTTGGCTCCCTTTCCAGTAAACAAGCCCTCTGCTGTGACTTTGTCAGGGCCTGATTAAGCACGTGGCTCCCATGTGAAAGCAAATGAGATGTTCTATACCAAGAATCACATTAGTTCTCCATTTAATTTGACAAGGCTTCTTCTTTGTTCCCCAAAGCAGACTAGGTTCTAATCTCTTATCCTGAAACCTCCACAGCATTGCTCTTCACATCTGTGATCGTGTCTAGTGTTGCAAGCTTCTCCTCTTGCCTTGTGGCCCCTGCCCTGGAGCCTCTCCTCCCCCACATTAGGAGGCCTATGGAGGGCACTATCTTTGCTTTTTCTGTATCAGCCTAGTACAATATCCTGAGTCAGTCTCTGTCTCTCACTCTCTGTCTCACACTTACATATTTCACACTCATACTTAATATAGAGTATACCTCAAATTTAAGTTTCATTAAAGTTCTAGGGTGGTTTGTAAAATAGGAACTGACCCAGGCAGAAGTTTTGAAATTTCCTACATAAGCTACCAAAGGGCTATATACATTTCAGAGATGGCCCTGTAAGAAGTAACCACTGGCACTTTTTTTGTTTGTTTACTTAGACACACACTCAAAGCTTCACTCTTTTTTCTATACCGTAGTCAAAGAAGCCCTGTCCTTGGCCACAGCGACCGTCTCGCCTTGCAAAAAGTCAGCTACGCCAAGCTACGTCGGAGCAGCTCTGTGAGGCCACCGTTCCTGCGGCCACGGAGGGAGGAGAAGCCCCAGCGACCCAAAACCCAGAGTCCTGGACAGAGCCCCGACGCCCCTCCCGCTGCGCGAGGACAAGGCAGTTCTGCGGCCCTTCGGGAGCCGCGCCTTCTCCCGCTTCCAGAGCAGGGGCCGCCCGGCCCCACCCAGGCTGCTGGGACTAGGACGAGCAGCGCCCCACGCAGGCGCACTGAGGCCGGGGAAGGGGCGAGGCCGGGGAAGGGGCGGGCCCGGCTCGCGGGGCTGGCTGCGGGAGGGGCGGGGCGGGGAGGGGCGGGTGGTGTTTCCGTTGCTTCGAGTGGACTGAGAGCTGCTGCCTGGAGCCTATTCTGCTTGCATCCCTGCCCGCCCCGCGCGCCGCCGCCCCGCGCGTCGCCGCTCTCTGGGAGGTTCGGGGCACTTAGGTCCCTCTGTCACCCTCGGGTGAGTGCTCGCCTAGCCGGGGGTGGGGCTGCGTCCGGAGAGGGGAGCTGCGGGGAGGACCGGTCTGCGGCTCGCTAAACCCGCGGTGTCTCTCTTGTCTTGCAGTTTGCATCACCTTCTCCTGACCTGAGCAGTAGCCATGGCACAGGTAGGGCCGTGCGCCCCCAGCGCCGCGCTCGCATTTGCCAACTTTGTCAGCTGTGTCAAGGGAGTTCTAGAATTTGTCTGAAAGCCAAAAAAGTTTAGGAGTAAACAAAATCTGCCTTCGAGAAATCTGTTACACCTTTCCTGTTTCTCCTTTCGTTGCTCCCTCCTCCAACCCCTTTTCTGTGTCCCCGGCTTTTTCCCGTCCAGTGCCCGCCGGAACCTGCCGCGAAGCAGCCGGTGGGGCGCCGCAGCCGGTGACGTGGCCGGATTTGTGTGCATTCCCTTTTTGTGAGTGAATGTGTAAAAGTGCGCTCTCCCCCAAATCCAAAGAACCGCTAAAATTAGAACCAGAGCAGGAAAAGCTCTTAGCGGTCAAGTGAGACGAACGCGTTTTTTTTTCCATGTCTGTCTTTTTCTTTCTTTGCATGCCTGCCTTCTTTCCTTCCTTCCTTCCTTCCTTCTTTCCTCTCCTCTTCCTTTCCCCCCCTTCGCCTGCCTTCCCCTCTCTTCCCCTCCCCTTCTTTCCCTGCCTTTTCCTGTATTATTTTAATACTACAAGTGGGCATGGCTTTTTCCAGTAGCGCTCTAGTGAGCTTTTTCCAGTTGCTCAACCCAATTTTACTGAAAGGAACTGTTCCTTGTGGGCACTGCTCCCTCCCCACCCCCCGGGCAAAAGATTAAACAGAAGAGCGGCGTTTCTTAAGTAACTCGTGGAACGAGTTCTAAATTGAATTTGCCTTCGGATTGTTTCAGAACTTGGTTACCTAATAGTGGTCTTTTTTGCTCTTAACATTTGTCAAAAATACCAGAAAGAAAAAAATCATTCATATAGCAGTCTTAAAAAAAAAAAAACAAACAAAACCGACCGTGTTGTACGGTATTTTGTGAATAAAATATCAGTGCTAACAACTCCGCCGCAAAACTAATTTTACAGATCTCAGCAATCAAACTGGCTTGTCAGAGTCCAGATAATTTTTTTAAAACCAGTTTTTTAACTGCTCAGACAATGTCCTCTCTTCATACTCTTCATTTATTAAATCAAAACAAAACAAACAAAACTGACATCAAAATTGAGTGAGGTTTCAGGGTCCTTTCCAAGAGAACTTGGGAGGATTATGATGACCTGGTAACTTTATTAAATTTCTACAGTGCTTCCATTCTTACTTCCTCTTTTGCACTTAGGAAATATTACAATAAACCAATTCTCCTATTACTTCAAATGGAAACTTTGGTTTAGGTTCTTCCCCATATAAAGAATACTTTTATGTGGAACTTTCCTTCACTAAGAGTTGTTTTTCTTATCTTGATATGCTGGTGTGGTGATGTAAATGATGACTGATCAGGCATCAAAGAATAATTCCCTTTATCCTTGCTCATTTGGCTGTTTCTTGAATCTCTTTTGTAAGTTCACCCAGTGATGTCTGAAGTTTTTCAATCAATTCCTTCTAATTATGTAGACTCCAGATAGCACAAATGAACACGCTTTTCCAATTGTGGACATTAATAATTTCAAACTATGAAAAGTGTAAAGGATGTTATATATACAAAACCTGGGAGAATGGTGGTTTGCATGATAAAATTGGGTGCATGATCTCTATCACAGTACAACTCCAGGACTGTTTTCTATCAAAACCACAGTGTTTAGTCATCATAAAAGTTACAAGTAATGTTAAGAAAGATACAGTGTTGAATTTTGCACTTTGTTATTAGTTCTCCTTGGAAACGATGGAAGTAAAACATTTTGTTAAAAGGTTTTTTTTTTTTTTTTTTTTTTAAGATTCTATTTATTGGGACGCCTGGGTGGCTCAGTCGGTTAAGCGTCTGCCTTCGGCTCAGGTCATGATCCCAGTGCCCGGGGATCGAGTCCCGCATCAGGCTCCTTGCTCAGCAGGGAGCCTGCTTCTCCCTCTCCCTCTGCTGCTCCCCCTGCTTGTACTCTTGCTCACTCTCTCTTGCCCACTCTCTCTCTCTAACAGATAAATAAATAAAATCTTTAAAAAAGAAAAGATTTTATTTATTTGACAGAGAGAGACAAAGCGAGAGAGGGAACACAAGCAGGGGGAGTGGGAGAGGGAGAAGCAGGTTTCCCGCGTGGAGCAGGGAGCCTGATGCGGGGCTCGATCCCGGGACCCTGGGATCATGACCTGAGCCGAAGGTAGACGCTTAATGACTGAGCCACCCAGGCGCCCCCAAATTTTGTTAAAATATTAACATTAAGATAGAGTTTTGTTGTTTTTATACTTACACATTTGATGGGATGCAGAATGCCCACATTAAGGACTTGCAGTTTTACTGTCAAAAAATTCCCGGGGCAGTTGGGTGGCTCAGTTGGTTAAGTGGCTGCCTTTGGCTTGGGTCATGATCCCGGGGTCCTGGGATCGAGCCCCACTTTCTTCTCTTTGCTCAGCCTGGAGCCTGCTTCTCCCTTTCCCTCTGCCTGCCGCTCTGCCTACTTGTGCTGTCTATCTCTCTCTGTCAAATAAATAAATCTTAAAAAAAAAAATTCCCTTGGACCCCAGTGTAATGGTAGGAAAGCTGAAGTAGTTTCAGTGTTAGGTTTCAGATGGTTTCTATGGTAGTGTTTTGTTGACCTGTGGTTATGGGAACCAGAGACCTCCACTCTAGCCATTTGGAAAGTAGTGAAATCAGATCTAAGCCTGAGACTTAGAGGTGCATATTTCAGCCATTTAAAATGTATCATTAAATATTGTCTCTTATTTATTGAAGAATGAAAAAGACTCCCACAGCAGTAATTCTTCATGTTTATAAACTGTACCTCCCATACCAGTGTTTTGTCTTTTTACTTGACCTTGGGACCACCCTGCCAGTCACAGCCTGCAAAGATCCAGGAATCAATTGTATATGTAGCTCGTGGGCGTGACCGTCTTGTTAAGAATTTAAAGAGAAAGCACTGACTGATCTTCAGTAGATAATTGGAGTTTCTGTTTTTATATGAAAAATATTACTAGGGATATTTTATACTCTTGTGTGTATTTACATTAATATTTTTTGTTTATTTGTTATATAAATAAATTATAAGTTTTATCTCATACTTAATATAATTCATATCATTGCAAATTCTTAAAATTTTACCCTAATGATGTCAGTATAGGGGGACAAATCCATAACAGATATTGTGAACTACATAAAAAGTGATTTATATTATCATGGTGAGTAAATACATTCAGAGCTGGGGGTATTTGTGGAATAACCACCCCTTGAGCTCTGCCCTTCTCTCTCTGGTCCTAATCCTCATCCACTAGCATTGACACATGTGGGGGTCTACCAGTTGACTATTATTATGGAGAGAAGTAGTCTAACATGAGGCTTCCCAGTCTTTCTCAAAGATAACACACTGGTTGACTGTATCGTTTCCGTGACACGCAAGAAAAATAAGAATCACAAATGTACCTGCATGTAAACAGTTCCTGGACAATATTTATTTATTTTTTTTATCTTTGAAATGATTCATTTGAATGGTTTTGTATTTATCTGATTTGGAACCACAGCACCCATATTGTTTTAGAATAAACTTTGCTAAATGAATGATAAATTATGATTCTTAGATCACTAATGTTTTCTAATGTACTAAATTTGGGTACAAGCTAGTTCAAGATATTTACTAAGGAATGGCCAGAGAGCTGTTAATTGCCTGAATTATCTATATAGAGTATAATATTTTTTGAATCCTTTCATCTTTTTCTTACAACGGTCAACTTGTGATTATATAAATGTGACTTTTAAAAAAATTTTTTTTATTGTTATGTTAATCACCATACATTACATCATTAGTTTTTGATGTAGTGTTCCATGATTCATTGTGTATAACACCCAGTGCTCCATGCAATTAAATGTGACTTTATTTATTTATTTATTTTTTATTTT